ATCTTACAGAGTGGGCAAGCATTTTAAACATACTTTTTCTCGTGACTACATAACAATCGGAACGCAAACGTTCAATAAGGGATCTTAAAAATCCACTGACATGACAACTGAAACGGTGAATACGTCAGACTTGACAACCGAAACGTGGCTCGGTTCTCTACCAATGGACAAACGTTGTTAGCTTTCAGTATAGTATTGAGCTTTATTGTTTGTACAGCACCAAAAAAAGGACAAACATGTTTGTTTGTTACTAAACACAAAGCTATGCAATGTGATATACTTTCTGTGTCCAGTACGGGTATCAAAACCCGGTTTTTAGCGTTATAAGTCCACAGACTAGAGGAGGAGGGGGCAAACATGAAAGATGAAATTCGAATGAAAAAGTTGGGCTATGTTCGTGTTCTGCCCACCACGGGTATCGAAACCCGGTTTATAGAGTTTATCTAAGACGGCACCTGGTGGCAACATTACTTATTTACATCGTCATTTCACCAAACGATTTTCATTTAATCTTTTTTTTTTTTGTTCCTACATAACGATTTATTTAACTTTTCCAAAACCTGCATTACAGTTGGTTCGTTAATATTTGATTGTATTAAAAACCAAATCCCGATAATTTATCCCTTTCTTCAAGTGGTATTCCTTAAGATAATGTTTCGATAAATAATTATCAAAGGAAACGTATTTATTTACACACCTCAAGGCACGTGATGCAGCTGCGTGAGGACTTGGAGCTCTAGAACGTTCCCGCTGTTGCCTAGGTGACTGCCTCTGCTAGTATTCGGGTTGTCTAGCCGATTAGTTATGCAGTGGTTCCAGCCTTTCCTCTCCAAGATAAGTTCTTTCTTCTTTGCCCCTAATAATGGCTTTTTCTGAACTTTTATTCAGTGCTGTTCGATTGCCGAGAACGAGCAAAGGCACGTGTTCGTTTGAACTACTAAGAGTGCTATGAAAAGCTTCGACGAAACATGAATTTTTAAAACCAACACACACACCCCTTCTCGTCTTGTTGGTAGCAGGTGTTTATAGAACAAGGTGTGGTGTTCCCGACAACTAATACCAGGAAGAAGACAGCCTTTCCGTTGTTTCTCCAAACCTTTCGGTGATCGCAGCTTTCAGTTCCTAACACACACACACCCCTTCTCGTCTTGTTGGTAGCAGGTGTTTATAGAACAAGGTGTGGTGTTCCCGACAACTAATACCAGGAAGAAGACAGCCTTTCCGTTGTTTCTCCAAACCTTTCGGTGATCGCAGCTTTCAGTTGTTTTTTTCTGTTTTACGTCTGGTTCAACAGCTTACACCTAACTTCCTTTCTGTGTTATATGCGAGAACGTGATGTGGGAATATTTCGAATTGCGTCATTACCTATTGGAACTACTTCCTTCATTGTTGATCTGTTTAACTCTAATGACCACGATTACCTATTGGAAGTACTTTCTTCACTGTTGGTCTGTTTAGCTCTAATGACCACGATTATTTATTGGAACTACTTCCTCCATTGTTGATCTGTTTAACTCTAATGACCATGATTACCTATTGGAACTACTTCCTCCATTGTTGGTCTGTTTAACTATAATAACCATGATTACCTATTGGAACTACTTCCTCCATTGTTGGTCTGTTTAACTCTAATGACCATGATTACCTATAGTTGGATATAAGTCCTTTGTAAAAACGTCCTCTGAAACGGTGAAGTGTGAAAACGTTTGGTTGTATTACCACCAGTTCTCTGACATCTGTAGATGCTCTGAAACGGTGAAGTGTGACAACTGATGTTGTATCAGTCCTTTGTAAAAACGTCCTCTGAAACGGTGAAGTGTGACAACTGATGTTGTATCAGTCCTTTGTAAAAACGTCCCCTGAAACGGTGAAGTGTGACAACTGATGTTGTATCAGTCCTTTGTAAAAACGTCCTCTGAAACGGTGAAGTGTGACAACTGATGTTGTAACTCTAGTTACCGAATTTATAACCACCATACTCATC